GGCAGATGACCCCCCCGCCCTGGTAGCCGTAGGGGTAGGGGTAGTAGCCCAGGAGGGGCTCGCAGACCCGTCGGCAGTAGCGGTTAGCACGGCGGCACTGGGCACAGCAGTAGCCTTGCTCATCCCACAAGGGGTGGAACTCCAGCCCATTCTCCGACTGCCGGGAAGACACAGTGTCAGTGCAGCGGGGCTGATGCGTGGCTAAGGCACCCGGGAACATAGCCAGGACACCCCAGGAGCTTGGACTGGACATTCTGGGAGGGCAGCCTGGGCATCCCAGAAACATGGGCAGAGCACCCTAGGGACATGGCCAGGGCATCCCAGGAGCTTGGATGGGACACCCCAGAAGCACGGGCAGGACATCCCAGGAACACAACCAGGGCACCCCAGAAGCACAGCTAGGACACCCTGCGACCATGGCCAGGACACCCCACACCATAGCCAGCGCACCCCAGGGTGTGATTCCCCGCACTCACATAGTCGTTGACGGGCAGGTCCTCCTCGGTGAGCTGCCGTGCCCGACGCTTGGGCCCTGGCTCCACATCCTTCTCCACATCCTGTTTGCTCCCTGCATCCAACCAGCTCTGGTTGTCTACGAGCAGCTCAGGGTCTTCTGCTGCCCCTTCGAGGTTGGCCAGCTCAGGAGCTATAGGAAGAGCCCAATTGTTGCCATCAACAACCAGGGAGCTGGGGGACAAATGCAGCAGCAGACATTATCGTCTCTACTAAAATTTGGTGCCAAGGTACAAGAAAAGCCCACCAGCAAACCAGCTGTGACTCACAGTGACAATTTCCTCCGCTGAAACTCAGCTGCAGATGGGGTCTAACAGCGGGGGTCGGGGAAGCAGGGAGGGGACAGCAGCCTCCCTCGGCATCGGGGATCTCTGATGCTCACTTGCTCCCAGGACCAGGGCCGTGAGCTGACTGGTACCCATGGGGACGAGATGTGCCTCAGTGGCTGCAGAGCGGAGGGAATTTTCTCGACGGGGGGTTTTAAACTAGCTCACTCGGATAGAAGTGGGTTAGAGAGAGCCGGTAATTATGCCGGCGGATCTCAGAGGCCGCAACCTCTGCAAGGGCTGTGTAGTGAGCAGCTGGGGGTGGCAACCCCGTTGTGTGATTTAGATGCAGATGTCTGCTCATGCTCTGATGTTCATGCAGAGACGAGAATTTAAGCGTCCCAGTTTCCAGCAGCGCTGGCTTCTTTGC